AGGCTTCTTCCCTGCTTACTCCCCAGGAGAAAGAAACACAGATTCTGCTGGACATCCATAGCATCAACAAGTGAAGAGAAAGTTTTCAGGCTGGGTGTGATAAACAGCGCCCCATGCTCCCTCCCTCCCACAACTTTCCCAAAAATAATCTGGCAAAGCCAATGAGATCGAAACAAACTTCCACCTTACGGAGTAATATGCACATCCTGGACACCAGAAAGGGCCAAATGAGGGTCAGAGCTGGGGGGAGCCAGGGGCAGTGCTCCCACCGCCTTGCAAGGGGAGCTGACTCTGTCTCCCCGGGCTCCCTCTGCAGCATGGGATCATCAGGCTCCTCCAAAGCATCTAAATTAGGCTTCTCCCCATATTTTACCCCCCTGGGGGAATCTGATTCCAATTAGAAAGTACTAAGTAATATATCAGGTTAAATGAGATGCCGAACACTAGGCTGTAGAAAAGTATTACAGACGTTCTCCCAAATAATAAAGGAGATTCTTCTAGTGTCGTGACACCCACTGAAGAGCCAACAAGAATGTAGCCGGAGGAGATGCTAATTCAAAGTGTCCTTCCCCGGGCAGGAACTTAAGCAGCAGAACAAGTCCCTGCTACTGCAAACGCACAGTTTGCAACATCCAGATCCTGTGGCTCCGAAACACAGATGGAGCCACGTGCCAACGTGTACAAGCAAAATGGATGGTCGATAAATACAAGTGAGACCATGAAGAGAATTTAGAGGTGAATTTCTAAATCGAATCAAATTTGAGATCTCTACCATGGGCTTTTGTCATATTCGTAGCAAGCATGATTTGGTTTTCTATTATATATTCATATGCTTCCATTCAGAACAACCTTGTTTCATTACAACGGATTCAGCTGTGCTTCGCAGTCCTGCTTCATTTCTTCCAAGGCAAATTCTTCAGGAGATTAACCCGACACATTTATTCCCCCGACAATATATCCTGTCTTTTCTGATATCATTACCAATTTCAAGCACATAGCAATAAATAGGCTTAAAATTTTTAAAAAGTAGTGACTTGAAAGCTTTCTGCTTCCCACGTTTTCTCGGTACAACACATTTCACTTCACAAGTAATGTTGTAAGATTCAGCTCAAGTAAATATAAAATAAATTATTAAGCTTCTAACCAAAAGCTTCCAGATCGAAACCCCCTCTTTATTGGACTTGAAGAGCTCCAGCGCATGGCACAGCTCTAACTGGAGTTCAGGTTTTAAGTAGCTCAAAGTGGCAATTATTCTTTTCTAGGAGTTCGACATATTATTCTTATGCTTCATATGCACAGAAGACATTAGTGAAGATAAACTGTGCAACTGGTAATTGAAATTAAAGCTGCAACATCTATTATGGTAACATCCACCGTGCCACATCTCTAACACACAGAGAATGAAATGGCTTTTGCTTATGAAACACCAATTGTGATACCCACTAGAACAAAAATGCATTAAGAAATGTAATGAAATACACTTACACAACATAAAATTTTCTAAAATTACTTACATTGCCATTACCAGTCTTCTACCATCTTGACAGATACAATAAGTAAAACCCCAGTATAATTCTGGGAGATGTGTCTGAGAAAAGCACGTCTTTTTCTAAAACTCAAGAAGTTGCACAGCATCCACGGTAAAGGAACTCATTAAAAAATCCAGTTTGCTTCTGGAAATATTGATGTATATAATGCCTACTCATCTAAAAAGGAGAAATCTGCACAATCTGTGGAAGAACTCTTTGAAAGTACCTTTCTAACAAGATTTCAGAAAACACCAAACATTTCTGAGATTTCAAAATCAGGATTTTTTATGAAATAATATAATATGTAGATAAACTATATTGTCTTTGGAATCCAAGTAAACATTAAGTGATTATAGTAGCAATAAAGCTATATTAAAAGGGCTACCAACTGAAAGAATATCCCGTTCAAGCACGCTCCTGGGACATAAAGAGCATTCCAGCTCTTTATAAATTTCTTGCATATCAACAACTTTTTACAAGGCTGTAAAATTTGCTTATCATTATCACATCAGTAAACAAAAGCTTTTCCAATATTTTAACTGATTAACACTGTAACGCTAGCTTATGTCATACTACAAAAAAGAAAAACCGCTCAGAGATCGCACCATGTCTGGCTGGGGTAACCCTTTTTTAAGAGATAATCTGGAGCCCTCTATGCGGAAATAACAACGCAGAGCGTTTTATAGCAAGGGGCAATTAGAAAGATGGAGATGAAGATCAACTTCCTATTTCCAGGCTGCTACATAGTGTGTATGAAGATGATTTCTAAGACACATGACAAACTTGGCTGCATCATCTGTCCAAACCTGGTGAGATATGTAACATCTTGGCTTGCAAAAGGAAAGCAATAAAGATATTTATTTATTTAAAAAAACCCCAAACCCTACTTTCCTAATATTATACCTTTACAAGAGTGCTGCTTTAATCACCAAGAACAAGTATTCCTTTCCTAGCCTGTAAAGCTCCCTGTAACTTGGTACTGGTACCTTCTAATTGGGATCAGGACTAAATCAGTAGCTCTTTAAAACCTGACTATAACTCAGATGAACTAAAGGACCAGATCAAAGCACGGTTATGCAAGGTGCTACTGCAGTCAAATGCAGCTTACTAAATATGTAAGACACATAAAGATAAACATGCAGGACTGCAAATCTCTACAAACCAAAACGGTTAGCAAGATCTCTGCAAATGCCTCCTGGATAAAGATACATTATGTGCTTCGTTCATTTTCTAATGAGCTACGTTCAAGGGTTTTATTATTATTAATTGCATATAAATTACCATGATTTTTGTATCACTGGGAAAGTATTTAGCCATTCACCTCTCAGAGGAACAATGCTGAACAAAGGCAATGAATGCATGGCATATAGGAACAATGCAGAACATAGAAATTTATGCATGCCATTTAAAAGGCATGGCATTTAGACTACTAGCAAAAAAATCAAAAGTGTGTCATAAATCTTTAATTGTAAAAAAAAAAAAGTCCAACTAATGGTTTGCCAAGTCCTTGATATTATTTAAGCAAGAACACTGCCTGCTTCTGGAGTGCAAAATCTCCTTAACTCACGTATCTGCATGTATTCCCAACCTCTGAAGCGTTCTGCTGCAAAATTCATTGTATCCGAGATCTGCTAATCATCATCAGGAAACTCTGTTATGCATCTTAAGGACGTACTTTAGGCTCTCAAGAGGAAAAATAAACATGTTTTATTAGCTGCTTTTGGAAAATACTGATTTGTATTTATTTAGAAACCTTTTCAAGTTGTACCACTGTTAAATTAAATATTTATGGCATGATTTTCCAAAGAGTTTAACACCTGTTAAGAGTTTAACATGCTGACTTCAACAGGAGCTCCAAGTGCCCACCATTTCTGCAAACCTCAGAAGTGACAAGCTTCAGACATGGTGAAGCAGCTCGAGCGTGGATGTCAACTGCTGAGCTTTGAAATGCCACTGGGATCCCCACCAGCCCCTACTTCCCATCGCAGCATTGCATTTCAGACAACTGAATCGGCCATATTTTACTAGAAATACCAGAAACATGACTCATTAATGGCTGTTAAATCCAAATAAAGCATAGGGTAAATGCTGTTAGTTAATCCTCAACACATCTTCACGTTCCTTCACTAGTGGAAAACTTATGTGCTTGGGTCATTAGACATCACCTCAGTAGCAACTTACAGAGGAGACTAAAATCCACAGTGAGTCAAGAACTGGAAAGCAAAGCTGTTGATATTAAGAGTAAGAAGTTGAACGAGGATGAAGCCATCTTGGTAAAATACAGACTAAAGAAGGTAGAGCAAAGAAAGAAAAGATGTTTGGTAGACTGCAAAAACCTGCATCCCAGTGACAGTGGCTTTGGCATTTGGCTTCTCAGCCAAAATTGAAGACTGTGCCTCTGGCCTCACCGTCAAATGAAGTCAAAATAAGGGGTTTGGGCTAGTCATCCTTATTTTGCTTAGCTTCTGAGGGACATGCACTTACTAACCCTCCCAGCTTCACATTTTCAGGTATCCTGCGTCTCCCGTTCTTGTACGAACAGATGATTTCTCGCCACCCTCCCACCCTCCCTGGTCCTTTACCCACTCTTGGCTGCAACACATGCCTAAATCTGAACTATGGAGCAAAGGCACCATCTTGCATTTCAGAATTAAATACATAATTTCCTTGTGGCGTCAGGCCTATACTTCTGGAAGCAAACAACTGTGTATTTTAGGCAGTAAATAAACATAACGTCTAAGCAAGAAATTACTATACACAGGCACGATTCAAATGATCATCTGACGTGGTTTCATAAACTGAAGACGAATAAAATAGTTGAATATTGCAGATAGGACACATCAATCTCCTTATACACTTTACAGCACACTACAAATCTGCCCAGCAAGTCAAATATTTTACTCATTAAAATAGTAGCTTTCATCACACTATAAAACATTTGTAAATGCAGACCAGAAAACCGACAAGTGTATTTACTGTAAAGCTTTATATTTGTGTCATCAATTAACAACAAAAGTTTGGAATAAAACTAAAATAAAAGCTAATCAAAACAGTTAGCTGTCAAAACAGATGGGAACTATATTTTTCAAATCAAGCAAAAAGCCAAAGCTTTCGAACATTTAGTGTCATGTCAGATGATACAGACAACTTAGAAAGGAAGGACAGCAAATGTCAGGTTTGTATGAAGAAAAGGTGTCCTCGGCTGAAAGATTCACGTTTATGAATTTACATTGATTTTTTTTTTTTGGCTTCAGGATGATTAACTTGCACCAAAGCAGACCTCTGACACGTGAACTATAAATAAGGTGCTGCCGCAACACTGCAGGCAAAATAAATAAAAACAAGAGCCCCGACATTATTTTAGCCTCAAACAAATGTTTCAGTCCCTACATTGTCTGGCTTGGAAAGATACATAGACAGTCTCACAGACAGAGATATAAATGAACAATTGCAGTACCTTTTTCCCACACTGTTTACAGGGTTGGCTATATTCCTACTGGCAATAGATTTTCTTCTTGACAGCTTCTTGGTGTTGGTGCTGTCATCAGTGCTGTCATCCTCTTTCTTTGGTGTGTTACTTCCTTTGCTGTTCAGGTCCCTTAGCACATTATAATTAATTTTACTTGAGATTTTCTTCTGTTCTAACATCTTTTCAATTGCCTCTCCTGCTGTGCTGGCTTGAATTGGCTCCCGCTTCTTTGCAGATTTCTTTGGCTTAATTAAAATATAAAATTAGTGATGTAGATACAAACAAAGTTTCCGTGAAGCAGAAGGGTGAGCTGCAGCTCAGCAGTCCTGGCTCAGGTGCTGCTGACGCAGGGATGCAGGCGACGCGGCCGGGCGAAGCCAGCGATCCCTCTCCTGCCACTCAACGGGACCGAGAGGTCTCTTTTCTCCGAGAGATAAGTGTTCGCTTTTTGCCAAATGCCCACACGGTTTATTACAAATTCTTTACTTAGTATTTGAAATGCTGCCAGAGAAGAAACATGGGCCATTTCTCATGCATGAAAAAAAAAAGGGAGTGAAGACCTATTACAGGAACAGGGACCCTGATAGCATCACCCAGCCTGGAAATGAAGAAATTCCCCTGCTAAAATTGCCTTTAGAGTCAAGCTGGATCACGACTCCCCTAAGCACTGCAACTCCATATCGAAACTGCAATGGTTATTTTATATCAAGTTCGAATGCAGCATAGGAGAGCATCTACCCAACTCCTCCTCCACACTGAAAAAGGCCAAGAATATTAGCAGCAGCTTTCTAAGCGTGGACCGGCATTAACGCCAGCGGATTGGAAGCAGGAGGCTGCAGCCACACGAGCGCGGCGGCGATGTCACCTGCAGCTGCCCTTCCCAGGCACACGCTGCGAGCCCAAGCCCAGGGCTGCGCTGCGGAGGCTGATGCTGCGCAGGGCCAGCCGAAGAGGAATGACACCGGAGAACATTTCTAGCCGTGTCCAATGCCTGGGTAGGTACGGAAAAAAAAAGAACCCTCTGTTTCTCATCCGGCATTTTCCTTTTCAAAGGAAGGTTTTAACACCAAGCTCTGCAGGAGATTTATTTTTTAATGTATAATAGCCCCTCTGTTTACCTACATGGGTCAAGTGCTACCTTGAAATTGGAAAGCACTGTATTAATCAAGTTCTACTCGAGCTGTCAGAAACAATACAGAGTTAGAGAAAAACTCCTGTGTTGTCCGAACAAAAAGGTGGGTGTTTAGGCTACTTGGTGGTGCCAACGAGTTATACAATTTTGAAAATTGCTGGTAGACTGCCATGTCTCTGTAAGCGCAGGATGAATGAGAAACTCTGAAGCGTAAAACAGTGTTTCATTGTCTGGTTTTGTTTTTATTGTTGAAATACCTAGGGGAAGTAGGAAACTCTGTCTTTCACATTAGTTGGAAAAAAAGATAAGAGGATATACGCACTAAAAACTCACATGGATTTTAGTTGCATGTGGAAGATTTGACTTGTCACTTGCTCAATTACACAAAATAGTAATGCTGTAAATCGTGAATATACGCCCAATTAGGCTGCTTTAAACTGCTAAACATGGAGACAGGACATGCCATTTGTTAACATAACTGTCGCATTCTTTATGAAAGGTAGAACAAAATACTCCTTCAAGTGACTCTAACAAGGATCTGTTCAGTTCTTCATAAAGAAATCATTATTGTAAGAGCAAAGAAAGCTACTGAAGTTATGGCAAGTACAAACAAATTCCCCATGCACACATTAAAAAAAAAAAAAAAGAATTAAATATGTCTTAAGACCTGTATTTAAATAAGCAAGCAATTAAGACAGCAATCATAAATGCAAAGAGCCAGCTCTGACTTTGCCATGCACAGAATTTTCTCACAATAGTAACTTAAAATAAAAGTTTGGGCAAGAAAGTGTTTTACTCACCACCTGAAAAATTATAGCCTTGTATTTCAATAACAGGTAGAGATACAATAGCTTTTGCTCGTTTAGTGGTGACCTGTGCCATTATGCCCATACATCCTACATGGAGTTGATCAGCAAATGTAATGAATTTCCAGAACATTTTCAAACAGACACAGTTAGCACACAGTTTAATACCTTGTGTTCCTTATAAATCCCAAGTTCTTTCTCTTTTGCTATTCTTGCTTCCTTTTCTGAAAGATGACAAAAGGGTAGCCAGCATGAAGATTACACAGACTGCATATTTCAGCAACACTGGCCAAAAAGAGAATTTCAGTCCTGTATACTTACCTTTTTGTTCCTTCAAATAATCTGCATTTTCTTTCATCCACAGCTCTGCTTTTATCTGAGCTTCTGTTTCGTTAAGTATATACTAAAAGACAAAACAAGTTTATCTACTTTCAGAAATCAACCTGAAAACCATAGAGCAAAACCGAATTGAAAAACCACTGGCAAGGTCAATTCACATTCTGTTTTTAAAAATACATTAATAAAAGAAAATATGACTGAGATGTGATAATCAGAGAGCATTTCTAGTAACTTCTAAAGCTGGCAAAAAACAACGGCATGTTTTCAAAAAACAGCACTTGGTTTCCAAACTATGATGGGGTGACCAACAACCATCCAGGACTCATTGTACATGGTCTGTAATTAACCTAAAATGATCCTGGTTTTATGATCTTTTTCAGATGATATGAGAGAGTACCATGACAACATGGTCGTCTGCAAGCAATTCTGTGTGTTGATGGTGGTCTGTAATTCAAAACAGAAAGGGAACCATTGCCCGGTGCTACCAAAACAGAACCATGTGTCTTCTGGGTAGGTTTCTGTGAAGGTTTAGGCACAGTTACTGAGATTATTAGTTCAATGGCCACATCTGTGTGAATGAAACAAGCTTAGATTGCTGGAGTTTTAGTCCTCTAGATTTTAGAGAGTTGGGTTCAGTAACCACATCTAGGCTTTTTTCGGTTAACTCCACTTAGTCTCGGTAGCATCACTAGTAGGTGCGGAGCTGTAAAACACATCTAGAACTACTCAGATGAATTACAGAAATAAACAAACAGGTAGGTAGCAGCCAGGCTGGCAGGTTCGTAGATAGATCTCCTCTTTAATTACTTCAATGTACAAATAAACCCAGTATTGAGTACAACTGCCTGTAAAACAAAAGTTGTCTACAGCTGATGCTGTTCGGGAGTGAAGAACTTCTGCAGAATGGAGAAGACAAACTGGGTCATCATTCATGAGCAAGACACTTCATTTTTAAGCAGTACACCCAAGACTTGTAAAACGATGTTTAAGTGCAAGAAAAACAAATTGAGATTACTCCACCTTAGGGGTTTGAGCATTCAAGATCTTCTCCAAAGTAAAACGTATATATAGGATTTTATGAGAAAAATAACTCCAGTCAAATGAAACTAATGCAGGGAGGAGTCCTTCCTCCGAAGGCGAACAAGGCGAGCAAAGAGCTGTGCGAGTCCTGGTTTATCAGACCAATATTTTCACTCGTTCATCTGCTTCTATTAAAGATGAGCCGTAACAGTAAAACTTGCTTCCTCCTACCTCAGTTATTCATCTTTCTTATGGTTTTAGAGAGTTCATAATCTTGAGCTTACAATATTACAGTCTATTGCCATGGAAATAAACATGAGGTCATAAAAGCAGAGTTATGACCTCATAACAGAGCCTAGGAGGAGGAGAAAATGTGCTTGTTCTTCCCCCACGTTTGTTTAAATTACGGACCTGCTATAGTGAAAACCTTCAGCCTCCCCGCTCCCTCCATACCACGGCTGCTCCATTCACAAGACCCCTCCTAACGCCCAGCCTAGCAAAACCCACTTCACAGCTGAAGTCAAGCTGAGCGTTTTCCTGCTCCTTCATCCATTGCCAGCAACATTCTGCAGAACAGTAATCCCTATGCAACCTCATTGTTCTCAATGATTTTGTACCCCAAAAGGAGTTTTTAGCATTGGCGTTATCTGTTCAAATTACACTTTAAACCAGCGTGGCGGCTGGAGAGGGCATCAGGCTCAGAGTCAGGAGATCCGGACTCTGTCGCATGTTCAAGTGGTGACCTGCTGTGTGGCCTTCAACAAGCCATTTTCCACAGCTGGCTGTCTGTCATGTTCAGGCTATATGGTAAAGGGTATCTTTCACTGCCACACAAATAATAATAAATCCAGAAAATGTTATGGAAACCTTTGAAAGAACACAGAAGCTGTACATGCTGGTTTTACAGTTTGGTTTCCATGGCAGCCTCCTATGTTGAATATATCTTAATTAAATAATGAATTTAGAGCTCTACCAAACTTTTAAACATCCTTCTTCAGAATAAAAGACATTCTAAAACATAATTATTCCAGCGAGCAGCAGCAGCAGTCTTACATATATATATAAATAACTTGGGCAAGGAACACCAAATCCACAGGCTTGCGTGAACATTAGTTTTGATCTCAGATCACTGAAATCTCTCAAACCTGTCTATAGATCAGAGTGAAGAGGCAGTGAGGGAGAGGATAAGCCAGATAAGGACCATTTTGTCTTTCTCAGATATCCAAACGCAGAGACACCCAGGATAAGAGGGCACCTTACCCGATCTATTTCACTGTCATCGATCCCACTCAGATCTAATTCACCATCTCCTGTATTCTCACCTACAGAAAAGAACACATTTTAATTAAGTTGATGTTTGTTCAAAATCAATCACAATTCAAGTTCTACGGTAAAGTAACACTTAACGATTGTCCTTCAGAGATTTGCATCCTTCTACATTCATCCAGGAGGTTTACCGTGTTGCTGAGTATTTTCAATACGGGGGTACATGCATGCACAAATTCACCACACCAAATTAATTTAAAATTCAGGAATTGGTATGGACCTCTTCAGCAGTAAAAATCTGCTGAACACTTCCAGTTGCCTTCTTTTTTTTTTTTTCCATTTTAATTTACAGCCACAAATGTTCACCAGGAAGCTGGGGAAACCATTTTAGGAAGATGACCATTTTTCTTTCACCATAACATGAATTTCTCTGTCAGAGCCTATAAGTCAACGATTCATCCGTAAATTATGACTTAGAAAATATTTTCTGTTTTCAGGGAAGCAGCATGGACCAGTGAATAACACATCATGCTGACAGTCATACCATGGCTTGCTTCTTGATTCTGATCTACCACCATTTGAACCACTTACCTCGTACCAGTTCTGTAAAAAGATGTGTATTAGTTTTTCTAGCTGTAAAATGGGAATTACTAAAAAAATTCCCAATTTAAAAATAAGCTTTAAAAGCTATGGAAGAGTCTAGATAAATGCTAAACAAGAATGACTTTCTGTATCTCAATTTCACTGTAATTTTTCTAGTTTTGTATTTCTTAAGACTACTTCTGAAAACACATTTTTTAATAGTCTATCCATTAAAAAGCATAACAGCACAGAACTGAGGCCTAATTTGGGACTGGCACAAAGTACAGCAGCAAAACCTGATTTTCCACATCACATTAATGTACAGTAGTAATACACTATTAATGAAGTCCAGGTAGAGAAGAAAATAAATTATTCAACAAAGACTTATGCTGGGGAATGAAGCAATCCTCTTGGTTATCTCCATTACATCTAATCAAGACTAGACAAGAGATGACCTAACCAGTTTACCTGCAGAAAATATAGACAAATTAAGTTTCAACAATCTGCAAAAACTAATTAAAACTGAAATGGTGTAGAACTACTTGGCATCTTCGCGGTTCCTGCTCCCCAGTCCTGGGGATGTGCCTCCCCACAAACCAAGACCTTTGAATGGTTTGATTCCCCAGTCTGGTGCTTTCTGGCAGAGCAGAGCTCCTGAGCAGCGCGGTGCTGGATCAACAGAGGGGGAAGGCAGCTGCAGCTCTTGACCCAACGGCAGGTTATGGCAACGCGGAGCCTGAAGGCTTGAGGAGCATCAAATGGTGAAGACAAGCAAAGGTAGGAATCATGAGCATTCCCAGAAGATAAGAACGATGCTCTGCCTGGCAAAACTCAGGCGTTTAAACCAGTTGCCTGAAGTACATGAAATCACAGGGTCAGGAATCCAACCAAAACAACTAGTTAGGAAAAAAAGGCTGCACTTCTTGAGCTGGTGCAAAGGACCCGGCTGCTCAACTCAACAGACATTTACTGATATTAGACACCAAGTGCTTACAAATGCCTTTTCAAAATCCACCTTAAACAACCAACAGAAAGTTTTAAACTCTTTCCATACCAAGTCATACGCAAAACGGGTTTCGCCCCAAAGAAAACGTCCTGTCGCAAGGAACTGCATAACACAGCGCTTTGATTTTCTTCTGAGATTGTCTCATAAACATAGTATCGACTTTACCAATTCAGATAATCTGATGCTAATATGACTGAAGAGGCCTTAAGGAACATTCCTCATTGCTGTTACACTTAGAAAATAACTGTACTTTAGTCCCAGGTACCAGATTTACTTTACAACCTTTTTCCCCAAAAATACTTTAGAAGTGTAAAAGATTTTATAATAACTATATAATTGTTCAGTATATACGCTTTTTTCTAGTCTGATCTCTATATAGTGCAGTAAGAGCAGAACTTTCTGCATCAGGACCACCAGCTCCTCGTGCAGGCACTCCGCTACCAGGCAGGCAGGGATGCGACCCAAGGACGTGGCAAAGCACGCCCTGGCTCAAGGCTGGAGAGGAAAAGCAAGGTGACTAAATACATCCCGGTGGTTTGCTGCCTCTTTAATATAACTCACTGGAATTTTTTTCGCAAACCGTGATCATGGAAAGCGCAGAGATATGCCACATCACCCATAGGAGTCCAGGGTATGCTGCAAAACAGCATGACACGTCTCTCCTGCTGGAACCAAGATACAAATTTCCAGTGAGCAAAATGCTTCAATATTCACCGAGGAAAAGAGTAAATACTGTAGTCTAGTGTCTGAGATGCCTTCCCAGGAGGTTGTCCACCTGGGTCCAAGAAATGTTTCATTACCCAAAATAAAATAGTAGACAACAGAGTGCTAGAGTGTGCCCAGGCCAGAATAACCTGTCTCCTAGGTCAGAAGGAGTTTGTGCAGAAATGGGACTCAAAATGGGTCTCCCATATTCTGGGTAAGTGCTTTAACCATCAAGTTGTAGGACAGAAGGGGGGATGGCCTCCCCCTTCTTTGTGTTATCTACCTTTTCTTTCCTCAAGGTTTTTTGGGGAAAAAAAAACCAAATTCCAATTTGGTTTATCTGAGTGAATAAAGGATTCTTTTTTTTTTCATATTCATTGCACCAGGTAAACTGAAATGTCAACTATCTACACAGGCTTGGAATTAGGGCCAAAGAAAAAGGGAGCCAACCTCAAAAATCACTAGTAAGTTCTGAAAATTTCGGGCTAGAAAATAAAAATTTGGAAGTGGGGACACTGCTCAACTTTACATAAAATTGTATCCTAAAATTATTTGTTGTAAAAACTGCCACAGCATCTCAAGAACAATAAAAATATCGCACTGAAATCAAGCTGCCACTGCTTTATTCATCATTAAACACCTCGCTCCTCCTATACCGTGCTATATTTTTGGATCAGAGGTTTAAAATTTAATATGTCACAGTACAGTAGGTGCCTGTTCCCTTATACAGCCGTAATATGCCAGACTGAAAATGATGTAATTTCAGGCACCATGAACAATTTCACATGTCATTTTAAATATAACTTGCTACTGAATTAGGTGCCAGTTTTTCTCATTGGATCAATTAGCAACGGGGATGGAAAACTCATTCTCCAACTGGTAAATTGCAGAGAAGAATCCAGAAGCAAGTTATACGTAATAAGCATTTCTTAGACCCCATAATGGCAGTAGAGGGAGTAATTGCAGGATATCCCTCTGCCTGCAAGTCGTCCTTTTTCCTGCCAAGGCGATAGGCATTCATTAAATGCAAGGGGCTTTTCAGAAGAGGAGGTGCCTTCAAATCCCTAGTTTAACGCTTTCACTGAGAAAAAAAATACGTGTTTTGTTACGGAATGCCAATTCAAAACAGAATACATCCGTTTTGATCTGAAAATTTCCACAGCAATCGTTCCCAACAGGAGTAGACCCTACCAGCCATAAATATCCGTCTGCTCGACGTTATACAGCTCACTCCAGGGCACGGAAAGTAAACCCCTTGCTTTTTTATAGACCAGAAAGATCCTCCCAGCTGCTAAACTTTTCAAAACAATTTCTAAATGATCATTTTCTCTTTTAATAAAAGGGTCGAAATGAAATGTTCGACGAAATAAAAACACAGATGTGGCCAACATCTGGTCCAACCTCTTAAAAGCTTATTTAGAAGCAGTGGCATCACGTGGCACGGCTCTTAGACATCGAGGATTTCTTCTGTTAAGAAAAACAACCACTTCACTGAAGGGCACAGGCAAAAAATAAGTTGGGCGTTAACACCCCCCCCCCCCCCCCCCCCCCCCCCCACTCCTGCGGAAGGGCGTAGAGCGGGGCAGCGAGGAGCAGCCTACTCCATCCTCACCTAACGTCTCTGTTGGCAAGTGGAGGAGGACAGGCACTTCTAGCACTTTCCATCAAGGTCCCAAATCGACTATATTCATGCCACTTAAAACCATCAGTCACCCAGCCAGCTCCCCCAATATTTTAAAATAAAAACCCCCAAAAGCCCTTTCTTTACAGCCTTTTAACGTCTTTCCAACTGACTAGCAGACACGAGGGCTACAATCAGACACTGGGGATTAGGTTTGTAAACCTGTAGGATTATTTACTGTTCTTGTCATTACTAAATGCATGCTAAACCCTCTCTTAACACACCGTCTCCCCCTCTCCCTACCTCTGTGCAGCTAGTTAAATGTATACATAGCACGCTATTATGGGGATTTATTACAGAAGAATCATTCCAGCCGATATATTTTAAACCCCACATTTTTAAAAACAGCCACGTGAAGAATGTGTTTTTCTGTTTCTATTACAGGAGGCAGCACTATTTATTGCTCTGCCCAGATAAGAGGATTTCCTTACAGACAGAAATGGAGGCCGAACACTTCCCAGGAAATCCTCCGGAGCAGATATAATAGAAGGCACCTGGTGCTCTAGTCCCATGCAGCAAATACACCCTCCGTCGCACCGTTTTGTAGCAGTCAAAGAGCCGAAAGAGTTTAAACAAAGAACCCTTTCCCCCTATTCAGCACAACACCAGACGCGAAGCACCCCCAGCATTTAAGAAATACTTTGGGGCTGGAGCACAACATAATCTGAAAATAGTTGGGAGAGGCTTTTTCACTAAGAAAAATCCTTAAGCGACAAACCAAACGACCTGAGCCCGGGGCATTAGAAACAGTGGGATTGATTGTTGCTCTCCAGGGAGGGATTAAAACCAACGGGAGCCACAGAAAGCTCCCACAGATCGGCAGAGAAACCCGACAGGCAGAAACACTTTTGCAGCTAAATCTGATGAGCGGTGCCGGTGCCACTTTGGGAGCTGCAAGGAGCACGAAGGGAAGGCGGTAGCTTAGCGTCAAAAGAGGCACTGCACAACCGCACCAGAATATAATTGATTAGCTGATCAGAGGGGACGAGAACCCATCTGGAGGGTAAGATAACTGATTTACCGAGGGGCGTGAAGAGAACAGTCATTAAGCGTGGGTAACCGGGAGGGGAGCGGCAGCGGCA